AACTGCACATATGATCCCAATAACAACTTCTTCTATGAAATGTAGACTTAAAAAATAAACAAAAACAGTGTCATGTTGAAAACTAACATAATTAGCAATGTATGTTTGGATAAAAGTGGTGCATGAATAATATAGGCAAAGGTAAGGATCCCAAGTTGGATGAAGCTATTTCCAGGAGATCTGCGGGGGTGGGGGAGGGGCAGGGGGATTTCATCGATAGAGGGTCTAGACCACATCAGCCCCCACATATCGTTGGAGTTGAAGTAGGAAACTTTAAGATTTTGGCACCTCTAGATGGCAGGAAGTGGCCCTCTTTTTGAATATAATTTTCATTTCTAACCAATATTTTCATTATTTGGAAAATTTACGGGGGCCCGGGCCGGCTTCACCCTCCTTTGAGTCCACCACTTATCTGGTAAATGTGCTCTTTTAACACATTATAATTTTATTTTGCTGCATATAGTGACACCCATCGTCACTGACTTCCATGAGATAATTGCTAATAAAGCAGTGAAAACATGCAAAATTATGAATTTGCAGATATGGGTTAATGTTAATTTCCGGGATATCCTTTCTTGCTTGCAGAGTCCGTCCCGATTTTTGGGAGACTCCCGCAAGTTCCGGGGGACTTGGAACCACTGCAATGCTACATTTTTCAATAATAATAATATAATATGAATTTACAATGTAGCATTTACTACGAGGAATAAATCCTTGAATCCAATTACTAATACATTTTGCAAGCTCACATTCCTACTGTAGGCACTTTCTAACCACCAGTGACAGTAGTATGGCCACTTACCATAGTTTTCCATAGCAGGACTTATTGTTGTTGCATCTGCCATTTTTATTTTCTATTTTCTAATCCGCTGCCACATCGACGTACAGGGCTTGTGAAACCCAAAAGCAACAATCGGTCCCATTCAGCCCCACCGATAAATCGACTTTTTCGATCGAACATCTTCACACAGTTCCCCCTGTCATGCAAATTTCCCACGCTGCTTGTCAAAAATCCTCTCTGCTTCGGAATACAATAAAAGTATTATTTTAAAATTTAAATAAGACTAAATATTTTATAATTTACTCAAAATAAAGTCTAATAAAAATAACTACTTGTAGTTATTATTTATTTTTAGAGTATTTTCGTATTTTATTGTAAAAATAATGAACAATATTTACCTGTAAAACACAAAGTATGTTTGTCAAAAAACGAGGATTCCCTGAATGATGAAACATCAACACAATACGAAAGGGCTTCCCCAAGTTTGTACTAAGAAGCTGAAAAGATGGTTGCATTTCCAATGATAAAACTAGTTTCTCTTGCTATGAAACAAGTCAGTAAACCTCTTGCCAAGCGTATTCAAAGCTTAGCTAAAAGAAATAATTTCCTGCGGAGGTATATATGTATGCCGCCAGCTCAACGTAAGCTAGGCCTAGGGCCTTCCGTATTATATTTTCTAGGCCTACTCTATTCACGCCTAGGCCCTGCCCGTCCTGCCACCCTATTAATTGGGCTAGCTAAAGTAGGCCACTCTACCAGGGCCTAGGGTAGCCTAAGTAAAGAAGTAAGCCTAGCCTAAGTAGGTTCACTGGCAAGGTACTAAGTCCAGTCTAGGGCCTAGGCTAGACCTAACTATTAATTATTACTTGGCGTAAATAATACTTTGATATATTATGAGACATTTAATTAAGGCTTTTTTACAGAATTTTCTTTTTAATTGGTGGTCAGACAAACAATGATTCTCCATTTTTTAGGGCTAGCAGGTAGTTTTTACTTGACTGTGACTGAAGTTGTTCTATAGTAGTAATTAATATTATTTCATACCTGCCAACATTTAAAAGAAGAAAAGAGGTAGGAAGTTATTGAGAAAATGGTGCGTAGCGCCATCCGAGTGCGAAGCCCGAGGCGGGGCTGAGTTTGGGAGGGGGGTGTCCCCCCTCCCAACAATGGGGGGGGGGTCCAGGGGGGCGCAGCTATAACAGTTCAGTAAATTTAAGGGTTTAGATAATCGATTTTAGAGGTACAAAAAATGGAAAGGATGGAAATGTTCAGTTGGTCAAACTCATACATTAAAAAAACAACACCACGCACGCCTCGAGTTACCATAGGTTACTGCACCAGGCGCCAAATATTATATTATGAGTGTGTATAGTGTGGCCGGAGACTTAAATTAAGGGTAGCGCATCATTCTGACGGCGAACAAGATTATTTTGATTGAGAACTTAGCATAAAATAATGTTGATTTTCAATTTTTAAAAATCGGTAGGAACAGCCTGGTAATTCGGTAGGCGGTAGAAAAGTAAGAAAATCGGTAGCCTACCGCCTAAATCGGTAGGGTTGGCAGGTATGTTATTTATCCAGAAAATCATGCGATTGGCAGAGAAAAATCTCAGGAATTTATTATAATTTTGGTTTGATATTATAAGATCACTATAAAATTGAGTTTAGGTAAGGAGTTTCAAGCAAGGAAAACAAGCAAAAAAACCAAAGTACGCGGGTAAGATAATTTTTAAAACATTGGTAGGTTAGGGAAGGTTCATAGAACCATCAGAAGACGTTTGATTTGATTTTCATGTAAAATTAAGTTAAATATACATAGAGTTTTTACAGGCTAGGCCTCGGCCACTGACACTTGTTGCACGACAACGCAACATGGCTGGATGTGATGATTGAGTGAGGCCTGACTGTAAACGTTCAGCTCCGTGCAGTCTGCCAAAGTTATTGGTGTGAATTTAGGAACATTATTCAATAATTTTGAATAACTTAGCTCTCCTTGAAATCTGCAAGTACAACACATTTCATGAGTTTTGCAACAAGCACATTCGTCGACCGACGCCATGATTCACTGTGAGTGAATACACGGCTACTGCCGTCGTCGTGCTGTAACACAGGCAGACACGACCAATGTACGTTTTATTCCCAAAATAGTACGATTTATTCTCGTTATATTTCACATTTGGCATATACAATTGTAGAGAAAATATGACATTACATTCATAAGCATGTAACAATGGTTTCTGTTAATTTAAATCACGCTCAACTTTACACACAAAGCGTGTATGAGATGTTTTAATAAAGGCTGTTTTCGTAAATTATTGTGTAAATCGACTATCTTTGTGCGTTTGTTTTGGCTTGAATACCCACTATAGCTGAACAGCGTCGATCACTAATTCGGTTTATTGACCATTCTACTTAGCCCCACCTTTTTGATTGTAAACAGTGGCACTAGGCATGAACACATGCTAATGTTTTGTGCCTCAATTCTTTTGTATTTTTTTTATGGAAAAATAATTATAAAAATTGAAAAACTGTTCCTTACTGTATCTTTAATTGTTATCTATACATTCAAATGATGTTATGTTGGTTGTTTTTGTTTTTTGTTGTTTTTTTTTTTAATCTTTGTGTTTGTTATTTATTGCATTTTTCAGTCCACCATTGGTTGGAAATTAACTTGAAGATGAGATCACTAGGCCTGGGAAATCCTAAGAAAGTTGAACGTTTATCTGAAGATGCAGCAGTTGAACTAGGAGCAGAGATGCTCGGAGAAGGGATTGTTTTTTCTGTGGCCGTTGGAACAATTGTCTTTGAATATTGGCGGCAATCGAAGAAAGACGAACAGCATGAAGATATACAGACTGAGGGAATAAAGCAGTTGAACGAAAGAGTCTCAGAGTTGGAAATTTTATTAGAACAGCAGGATGCTAGAATACGGGAAATGAACAGAATCGTGGTTGCACTACCCACAGGGTCATCTTCGAAAAGATGAGGGGACGCATGATCTTAGGATATTAATTAATGTAAACATGATGTCAGTAAGTTGTAAATACATTTTAACAAGTGGAGTAAAAATCAATGAAATTATTACCGTAAAGAAAGTTTGATCAAGAATATTAAGTTTTGACACCCCAATTGATGGAAGTTCACTTGGTTGACATCCTCTAAAGCAGTGTTCCGCAACTTTTAGACTGATGACTCGGTCAGGAAATATAGACATAAATCCGAACCCATTGTCCCCTTATTCACAGATGACTAATACAGAGAGTAGTTCTAGTACACAGTTTTAGACCTGCGATTTAAATTTTGATTAACATAAGAAAACAGTCCAAAAACAAAATATATTTTTTACAAATGACAAAATTGTAAAGAACAATGATGATGGTAGCCGGAATGCTGTCTCAGTGCCAGCGACGAGATTATTGATCCCCTAAGACTTTCCTGGCAGTTTATTAGATTTAGACACATCATGTTAATGGTAT